ACGAACAAACGAACATGTTCGTAGATTCTACGAACGAACGAACGAACGAACGAACATGTTCGTAAATTCTACGAACGAACGAACGAACAAACGAACATGTTCGCATACGAACGAACGAACGAGCGCTCGTTGACCGCTCTGACCAAGTGTAACAAAAATTACAGATGACCTCTCCGATTTCGCTCAAACTTGGTGTATAAACTTCTCATGGCCAAAAACTCGCAAAGCCAAAAAATTAGGGTGACCTTCTCCACCTGATGAAAAGTTAGGGTGACCTTAGGCTAATTTTTGACGAAGAATTCGAAAATGCAATCGTTTGTGGCCAAAAGTCAGGTCCACTGCCTTGATTTGGGCAGTTGTGTTGAGATTGTGCGATTTTTTCACCTTCTTCTTCAATAATAGCCTCCCTAATGCCAAATTTGAACCATATAAATGAAACATGTTATACGCCAAAAGAAACTAGACATGAAGCGCTACATTTTAGGAACACACCGCACCAGTGCTAGTGCCTTAGAAGCAGTTAAAAATGGTTGCATACTTGCAGGAGCACGATTTTTCAAACTGCCGACCTCGATTTGGGGCAGAAGGAAGGATTTGGTCAAGTTAAAATGTTCTACGCGTAAGTAGAATTTTCTACGCGGTTTCCGAATATTATAGTGATTTGGGGTCAAAAGAGGGTTTCTGCCCTGTTTTAGCCCTAAAATAGTGATTTTCGGTGATTTTTCGACTTTTTTAGCCTCCCCCTCCCTTCCAAAGGGGAGGGCGACCCCAAACATTGTTATTTTTTGATTCGTTGGAGTCTGGCGAGAATTTTATCAGAACACTTCACCAGTGTCAGACCACCTATTTGGTGTGAAAAAAAAATAAGTAGTCGAAAAACCATGAAAAAATGGTAAATGGTGAAAACACCGAATTATTTTCTCATAAAATATGAGTTGGCGGATAGTTGGGGAATATCGAAAAACTCAAGAATTTGAGGTGGGCCGAGTTTCAAGCCAAAAAATTCGAAAAAAAATTTTCACGTCAAAAAAGAGTTTGCCATTTTTATACTTTAAAGTCTGAAAAGTGGGTTCAAATTTGAACCCACTTTTCAGAGCTTGAATGAGCCCGGATGGGGTTGTCGCAGTGAACTTTTTTGTAGCCCCATCGATTATCTATCCAACCATGCATATAGTTTTGAAAGTTTGTACCACACTTTTCTAGTGTAAAAATGTGAAAAAGTGCAATTTTTCATTTTTTTCAATATTTGGGTCACCCTAACTTTTCATCAGGTGGGGAAGGTCACCCTAATTTGTTGGCTTTGCGAGTTTTTGGCCATAAGAAGTTTATACACCAAGTTTGAGCGAAATCGGAGAGGTCATCTGCAATTTTTGTTACACTTGGTGTGGTCGTAATGAAAACTTTTACATTCAAATATAGAATTTGTTCCCTGAACGAAGTAGAATACGAGACGAAAACAAAATGGTTTTTTTTTATTTACGTTTCGAATCTTTTGATTTGAAGCTGCCAAAATTTTTCCATTTTTTGTTCATACCTTTGAGAGATAGACCGATTCAATGGAAAATCAAATGTTATTTGTACGATCAAATTGAATAAAGCCGTTCATTTATATTTTTTTTCGGAAACGATTTATATTTCGATAATTGCAAATGGTTTTTTTCATCTTAAATCTATTTGAAAATCTTAGCTGCGCTTTTCCCATATTAATTCAACATTGTAAACAACAACCAAAAAAAAACTCTTGCCTTTGTCGATTGGAATGTGGTTTAAGAAAATAGAATTTGAATGAAAAAAAAATATGAAAGAAGTCAGTCATTTGAAATCACAGTCGACCAAAAGTCGATAGTATTGTACTTAAGCATTGTGGGTATGTAGTCATTCAATTTGGTTTTTTTAGATGTTCAACGCTTTGAGAACTTCCTTCAAAGCCACTGCTAAGTCGACAAGTGTTTTTTCGCCGGAGCTACTAGCTTCATCGTTTGTGTTTAGTGTTGTCCGCATAAGATTCTCCGATTGGTGTCGACAAACAATCTCATCAAGAGCTCGAAGTTTACTCAATATTGGACTATTTTTCATGATATTTTTGGCTTCGGCATTGTTTGCCGTCAATTTCCAAATTGACACAGTGATCAATAGCTGCTCGTCACCAACCACTTTCTTATCGAGCACATTGTACATAATGTGCTGGAAATCTGATGATTGTAGTAAAGCTGCACGATTTTCCGGGTTGAATGACATATTCCGAAGGATTTTCAGGGCTAGGCATCGATTTGGTTTGTTCGATGATTCAGCTAAATTGCACAATAGATTCATGTGACTGAAAAAGAAAACGAATGATGAACGAATTAATCGAAACGAGAGAAAGATCGTTGTAAAATTGGGAGGTCAATGTCAAAAGTCTTATGACGTTTTCAGATCCACCCAATCAATATGATAACATAAGATTGAAGTGATTTTCTTACGTTTCTTTGTTTGAATCGTTGTGACGGGTTAAAACCTCGAACAGCTTCAGCCAATATTGTGTCAATTGTGGCCATGGTCGTTGATTTTCCGCCACTTGCGGATGCAAACGGCTCAATGTGGAAAGCATACGGGTCTGTGAGTTTTTTGGATTTAAATTTTTGATTATAAAAATCATATACCATTTTGGATGTTGGATATGAATTAGAAATTGTCTTTTACCCTGCCAATAAGTACACGGCCCTCAACGCAACAGCAACAATTTGTTACGATCTTCAGTGCCAATTCAAGTGTTTCCATGTTTGCTTGAGCGGTTTTCGGTTTACCCGTTTCGGTCACACAATATTCCACGATCGATTGCAGGAAGGCATGCGGAGCTACAGAGACTGGTGGTGCAACACTTAGTGCCTTGCATACTATGAAAAGAGATAAGAATTGTATGAAATAAATGATTATCTCCTTTTTTGCTACTAGATGAATTTCATTCTTACCTGGTAACGAATTATTACTGATGAACAGAAGCATTTTCATGAAGACACTTTGAAGACCGGCCTCCACCATTGGCCAAAATTCATAACAAACTCCAATTATCGGCTGAATTAACTCGTCATCTTGTAGACAATCAGAACTGTACAAAAACCTAACCACGTTAAAAAGAAGCTTCAGTTTGATGATGCGTTTTTCGGCCTGTGTTGGAATAAATAGGATTAAATTAGTGGATATTTTTATTTCAACTAAAACTGTGTATGCGATGCTTTGATTATTTTACCTTTGGGTTGTCATTCCTGCGGATTTTTCCCATTTGTTCGACAATTAATAGAAGAAATCGTTCTCGTGTGGCTATCATTCGAGCTCTTTCCGAGCATTTCAATAAAGTTTCCAATGATTTACAGTTCCACATAAAGCAGGTGTCTCGTTTCTCCATCGGTATTTCTTCAATTTGTGGATTGTCCACGAATCGTTCAAAAAGATTGGAAAGTTGCCCAAAGAGAATTTCAGCCATATAAATTTTATCGGAATCCATACTTTCTGCCCAATCAACGACCGATTGTGAAATGATATCGGTGTTGAAAATGAATTTCAACGTTGCCTCCTTAACACTCGCAGATGCTGGCGTCTCATTAAGTAGATCCCCAAATGTTGCGTGGTTATAGTTTGAAGCCTGGCTTGCAATCATTAAATCGCTAATAAAACGCATAATCGAAACGTTTATATCTGAAATTTAGAAGAAAAACTGGCTATAGATTTAATCTCTTTTTTTTAAAAACTTTTTTTAGTTCACCTCTGTCCGATAAACCATAAATGCAGAGCGTAGCGATACCATCGAAGAATTTTGGCTCTTCACTGAGTGATTCACAAATGATCGAAAATCCAATCGGAGAGCCTGCTATTTGCCGTAGAACTTTCAGTACTTCTGGCCAAAAAGCGTGTTTTATTGATTTTGAAATCGATTCTGGTTGACGAGAAGAATAATTAAAATAATTTTAGAGAATAAGTGAATGGAAAAGCGAAATGTTTACAAAGATTCTTGATTTTTAGCTGAAAACTTCAAAATCGACCAAAACTTACCCAGAAGATCGACGTTAAGGAATGAGATGAGCGATTGAATAGATTGAAACTCGCGTGCAATGACTTCGACAAAAGACTTTTTGTATACAAAACACAACGAAATCAATGAACAAATCTCTGTTAGCAGTTGAACCGATGATTGATTTGTCGATTGACGAATTCTTGGTATTGCCCTGCATAGATGACATCAAAAATTAATAAAAATTGATAGAATTATTGACATTCAATGAAATGGACATTTCATGTCCATGAAATTCAGCAAAGAGAACAAGAATTTAAACTCACTTGCTGATTTCATGTGTCGTCTGATAGATTGAATCAACATCTCCTGCTCCCTTGAGAGGTAAAAGATTTGATAGAATTTTGCAGTATGTACGCATTTGGTTACATGTAACAATTTTATCAATATTTGCCATTCGTTTGAGTTCAATTACATCATCCACATGCATATATTCTACGGATGTTCGGATTTTTTTAATCAAATCATGGTGATAGATCAGTTGACCGATCCATTTGCATCCCATTCCGTTGGCACTTTTCGGATATAAATCCTCGTGGATTTCGTTGTTTGCATTTCGATACGAAATTAGACTAGCAAATAATAAAGCTGGATTCTCTCGAACGATGGCCGATTCTGTATCGTCCAGTAGCGTATTTAAACAACGTGCATACAAATCACCGGGCAACGTATCTATTTCTGTATGGAAGAAACATTTCGATGAGGTTAAAACCAACATGTAATGAGAAGATTTTGTTTTGGAAGGAGAAAATTAATGAGAAAGAAATATGAATGAACATACCTTGAACCAAAGTCTTGGCTTCGTCAAATCCATACGACATTTTCAATAGGATATTCCACGCATTAGTTCGAATTTCGAAATCCACATGGCCGCACAAACTGTACAGGAAGCCAACGAATCTTTTCTTGATGGGAAACTCATGGGTACAATTCATCATGTTTATGATGGTAAAGAGGCAATCCTTATTGAATTTCGATCCGACATACGAAAACGATGACAATGATGACATCAATTGGAATAGCTTATTGGACACATCCGATGCGGTATCTTTACTGACCAAAACCTTTCCACTGGATGCTAACAAACGAAGCAGTGACATCAAGCACTGCAATTTATCTGTGGAATGAAATTAGAGCAAATTTTAATCAAAACTTAATTGAATCTTATACGAAATCTTCCAAAAAAAAAACTGCTCATGTAAATGCTGTTTACCAATTTTCTTCTCTTCCAATAATGTATCAATTCGTCTGGTTGCCATTTCAAAGATGTGTTCGAACAAGTTACTTGCTGGTTTCGCCTTATTCGCAGTAGTCGCTTGGTCATCATTGAATGTGTGAAAGATTAATTGTTCGATGATTTTCTTCGATTGCAAATCGATCGTTTTGGATAAAATCGTTTCCATGAGACGAATATTACATAAAAAGATCCCCGTTGACACCTTGGGATTGTTCATCAAATCAAAGTAGATGCATTGCTTTTGATTGAATTTCTGCAATACCCAAATGTGTACATCGATGAAATCGCGCTCAATCAAATTGCACAAAAGCCGGCAATATTTCAAAAAAAACGTCTTATCCCGTTCACTTTTCGGTTCAACTGTACAAAACTGTGCAAAGCTTTGCAAAAACTGTTGGGAATCCCATTGCTTCTGATGGCCCGTTGAATCGACATTTGAAAAATTCTCTATGGCCGCACAGCTTGCTGCGAATTGTGAAAATGAGGTGGTATCCTTTATTTGTTCTACACATTGACTGAGGCGATACTTTTGTGATGTTCCTTTGACGATGTCTAAATCGGCCGAAGTAGCACACAATGCTCGATCAAATGACAGCGAATCTGGATTCTTTTTATAGTTGAGCTCGACATTTCGGCTACCTTCAACAAAATTCGGACAATCAATGAGCTTATCGAGTGATTCAAACCATAATGCATTGAATGTGAGTCGAATGTATTGCTGTAGATGCAGATTTTTCAAAATGTGACCATCAGCCGAGTGTTTACTGCTTGTATCCGAATGATTTGAATTGGTATCGGTTAATTTTTCATTCGCTAAAATTATTTCCAGCAGACTATTCTGTTCCTGCGTTGATTTCCAGCTGAGCTCACATGTGATCGGTAGGTAAAGTTTCTTGCACACCGGTGGTATGATGAGTTTTTTGTTACCACCAACGATGTACTCACTGAATGCCATCGAAAATAGTAAAACAACGCATTCGCGTCGAAATTTGTCGTTGGTATGGAAGAGCAGAAGCGATCGTAAGATCAGAACATATGCTTGAATGTCATCTGCGAGTCGACGACGAAACGTTGAAATGCGAAGGCACATTTTGGTCAGAATGCCAACGATTTGTATGGCATTGTACGCATAATGGCTAGTGGAATTCTCTCGCAACGATCTCTCCAGCACCTTCAAAATGATCGAATCCCCGCCAACTTCGTGGAAATGATTGAGAGCCACTGGATCTTCCACCACAATATTGAGCTGTGTTAGCGTTGAATGCCGACTCGATGGTTCTGTATTTGGATTTTGCAACACTTCTAACAAATCATCAATCAGACGCACCTCGTACAAATCGCAAAAGTCATCATTGTCCGAATATGGAAGCGGCTCAACGATGCATAAACTACCCGGAATTGTATCGGTGATGCAATTCAAATTTGGCATATAGATTTCGGCGTTCGGCACATTTTGTATCAAATACATTAACCGGTAAAGAGCCTCACTTTGAGTGTGCGTATCTCGTGAGAATAACAACGCGACACTACTCTTGATCAATATAACGGTTGGTAGATCATTTTCTTTATCCAGCTCGCCTAGCGACAGAATCAGCTGGCCAAATTGTGTCGTTGTTTTTGCATGGCACAAAATTAACGGCAAAACTGGCGTAAGAAATTTACACACATCCTTCCATCGGGTTGGTATGAGAGTCTTGGTTCGAAGAATCAACGTCAATATATTTTCAGCGTATGCGGCAGTCTGCATTTGCAAAGAATTGGTTTCGATTTGAAATTGAAGTTTTTGATCATTATTTGAACAGGAAATTCGAAATTTTTCAATTGAAATATTCAATCATTTTTATTACCTTTGTATCGTCGCTGGATGAGCCGTTGCAAAGGATTTCCGCTAAAATTTCAGCTGACATTGGAACACCGAACAGACAACTCTGAAAAGTCGTTGATGTGTATGACTTTGGAACGTTTCTCTTGCCCTCCATGATGCATCCGAAGGAATACGACATTTTCTCTGATGCCAATTCGTATACCAACCTAAACAAATGGACAAATGTTGTCAGTGAATTGCCAGTATCCAGTTAATCAACTCAGTTGAAAAATTTGGTGTCCAAACTTTCGTTTGCGACGAAGTCATTTGGATTTAAATTTCGATTGAATTAAATTGAGCGTACCGTTTCATCTCCACACAACCATAGCTCAGCATATGCAATAAAAGTCGTTCGGCATCTTCTCGCATTTGGTCATTGGCATTGTATTGCGGTGTCAAACTGCACGAATAACATCAATTTTTCGATTTAAATACAAATTTCGGTAATGTTACTTGGAACTAGCTCAATTTTCCACCTTTCATACTTACTTAGTGATGGCTTTAAAAAGCAGATGAGTTAAGTCGTTGCTTTTGGTAACCGTCAAGACGTCCAATGATTTGATCCCATGCGAAAGGACCTTTTCATAAGTACACATTTTTGGATCCTTGAGCAATGTGACAATTGGCTGCAGCAGTTCGGTTAAGTTCATAAGGATTTTGATTGGACTTTTGTCCGGAAAATTGTCAATCTACAAAGAAAAATCACTTTTAATCGTATTGTGTTTAAATTTTTCTTCATCATAACATAAAAAAACGTTGAGAATGGATCGATATATAAAAGAAAAAGTAATTGGTTCAATATACCTTCAAAGCGTAAACAATCAACTCCTCTACTTCAGGGTAAAAATGTTTCAATGGGAAATCCAACAGAGCTATTTCGAGTTCCCTTCTGCACATGACATCGATAGTATCCATTTCAGTGATATAGTTGCCAGTTATCTTTGATTCAGATGCTGTATGATTGTCAAGTGTTACATTCGACACTGTGTCGTGATCAAAATCGTACAGAAGTTTACGCGCATTTTTCAAAGAGAATCGCCGAATTCGTTGGCTGACATCTAAATCAAGCGTTGATTCATTGTGAATTGGTAGCATTGGAATTGTTCCTTTTTCGATATTGTTTCGAGTTTCTTTGAAGATCAACAGTTGACAAAGCAGAAATATGATCGAAATCGAGTCATTGCGATGGGTATTTGAGCCCATTCTGCTATAGTTAGCTGTCATCTTTCGTATAAAGCCCAAAAATACCGCTAATCTCGATATGATCTCATCGAAATGATATTCAACGGCTACTTCGGGTGAATATGAGCCGGCCGTTTTAACAATCAAATCAACAATCTCAAACAAATTTTGGAAACATTCATTCACGCCTGCCTAGAATATTCATTCAAAGACACTGATAAAATGGTATTTCGATCGAATAGTGATAGTTTTTCTTACCAAATTGGGATCAGTGTACATTTTCCGCAACAATTTCAAAACCGCATCGAATATTTTGAAGCAATACGATCCAATTTTGTACTGTTTCGTTGTATGCTAGAATTTGGAAGAATATTTTTGTCAACGAAGATTTCATTTAAAGGATTTTCTTTGGGATAAAAATGTTTTTTTCCCAAATTTTCAAAAGAGTGCATATTTACCTTTCGTTTAGCGACATACAAGGTCGAATCGCTTCGCATGGTAATGCGTCGTGCCAAATTTTGTGTTAACTTCAGGCAACACGTAAGCGTCGACGTTTGATCGAAACCCTTCATTCTGCATTCAAGCAATTGCAGAAGATCCTAAAACAGATTTTCGATACATTTTCATACCATAGAATTAAATCATAATGCATTCAAGATATATGAAATGATCAAAATATAAAAAACTAAACACACAGTGCACAATATTGAAGGCTTACCATGAAAACAAATTTTGATTGAAGGAAGAATTCGCCGGGAAAATCTTTGATGCGATGCTGAAAATACTGTAACGCACGATCAAGTTCATTTTGACTGCTTTCGATGGACAACGATGATTTCAATGATGATAGCACTTGTAATTCAGCTTCACCAGGAACTTCCCATGCCATTTCGAATTGCAATTCATCGGCACTACAACTGAAATTAGATTTTGATTAAATACAAAGACTCCTTTAAAATTTACAAATCGCCAATAAAAATGACAAAACGGCAATAAATTTAACGAAAAATTTCAACAAAATTGACAACAAATCGAAATAAAATGTAACAAAACAATCAATAAAATCAACATTACGCTCAATGAAATTGCCAGATTGAGAAAATAATTTCGACAATATAGGCAATAGAATTGCCAAATTAGAAAATAAATCTGACAAAAATGGGTAAAAAATTAACATTTTTTGCAATAAATTTGACATAAATTTATTTATTTAGTGCTTGCTATTGTCAAATTTATTGCAAAAAGTGTCATTTTCCTATCCAATTTGTCAGATTTATTTTTTAATTTTGTCAATTTTATTGCTAATTTTGTCAGAATTCTTTGCTCAATTCGACCATTTCATTGAAGATAATGTTAATTTTATTGATGGTTTTGTTACATATATTTCTGATTTTTTCGTCAAATTGAACAGAAACAAAAGGCACGCTCGCTGGCTTGTCGTAATTTCATTACATTTCAAGCATTCTCTCGTTGAGCGAGAACGAGCCAACGAGCGACTGACAAGGAAACATCAACTATGGTTGCGCGAGTTGAGCGAAACGGCATATGCCATAATGTAGGGCTTCGATAGACTAGCTTCACAGCAACACAGCATAAACTCTTAGCAACAACTTTGGGGAGTTGTTCGGGTGGGGAAAAAGTGAGAGTGCTGTGAAGCTAGTCTATCGAAGCCCTACATTATGGCATATGCCGTTTCGCTCAACTCGCGCAATAGTTGATGTTTCCTTGTGAATTAAATTGGCATTTGTAAATAGCTCGTAAAATGATTATACTATGTGATGATGACATGACGCGGTCAGACCGAGCCGACTTTATTATTATACTCATCATCAGAAAAAAAAGCAACGAAAAACTGAATAAAACAACGCGACGGTAATATAGAGCTATTTAGAACAAAACACGATAGGTTTTAGTTACCAAGCATATTAACTTAATCAATCATATGATAATTTTTCATAAACAACCAGAAAAATGGTCTTTCGAAAGACCCAAAAATAAATTACGTGTGAAATTCCACGCTCGTGTTTTTTTTTCACGTGTTTTTTTTCAACAATGTAAGATCCCTAAGCTGTATAACATTGAATCGAAATTCTTACTTCACATTATTTGAAGTTTCTGCTACCGGCAATACGTTGACTGGAGCATTAGAAATCGTCGCAACTTCTTCCGATTCAGAGCGATGGACAATTTTGCAACCGTCATTAAGAATGCTGTCGGGAATGGTTGAACAAAAATTACCATTAAGTTCATCTTCCACAATCATCGGGTGTACACGCTTCGGTTTGACTATATCAAATATTTCTGACAATAAGTACGCGGACGCATGCGATGAATATTCAACCTAGAAGATATTTTTGTGGTTTAGTTGAACGAATGATTGATTGTCTTGATGCAAAGTGAATGTCTTACAAAAAATAACCCATCAAAATTGGTATATGTTCGTTGGGTACTAGGTGTCAATCGGATGTTGATAATTTTTTTCTCTTCGAACAATCTGTAAAATTCAAAAGAATTCAGTCAATGGCAGATAGCTGAGGATATATGCTGAGCATAGAAACTCAGTAAGCTGAGATTGGAACATTTTGACTTTATGACGTGTAGTCCATATTGGTTAAATACAAATCTTGAAATAAAATTAACAAAGCGTGAAATAAAAGAATTATACCTTTTGTATGTGTCCGAATCGAATGTTTTGGCACTTCTAACATAAACCTTGGGACGATCTTTGAATTGAAAATTTGCGTTGATATTTTTCCCGTGTGAAATAAATAATTTGGCATCAAGTTCAAATAAATTTTTGTACTGTGTACGATAGAAGAAAGTTTGTTGTAACTCTGAAAGTTTGACATTGAGGCGGTGTCGACGAGCTAAATTGACCAGCAAATCTAATGAATCAAACACTCCGGTTTGTAGATGAATGATGTAGTCGGGATATTTTCTAAGCCACAAAAATAAATTGGTCAATTGATTATGAAATGGACAAAAATATTCAATTTAAATAGAAACGTACTCAATGATTTCCCTTATATCATCACATGCTCGATTATCCTCATCTATATCAAAGTGCCACGAACCGGCCATTGTGTTATCAATGTAAATATCGTGGATTTTTCTTTTGTACTTCAATAGCATGTCGGATAGCAAAACTGTGCGACAGTCTTTAAACGCACCAGTATACATAATGAGCTCATCGGGTTTATCTAAATTAGATCAGAGAAAAATCAAATTATCAACGGTAATAATGTTGAACGACCAATATACTTATATGAACTAAAAAAAAATCCAAGTGACCTCGTACCTAATTTCAATATCAAAAGCATCACCGAACCACTGACACTTTCAGTTGGCAGACAGGCAATGGCAAACGGCGTATCCAGACCATCGATCGTTGATTTCTCAAATTTCATCCATTGATTAGGTTCCGGTAGCAGCCGAAATAGTTCCAATGGCAATTTCTTTAGAAAAAATCAAATTTTCAGAAGTAAATTCAAAGAAAACATACCAAGATTTCTCAATGCTCATAGCCAGTTTGATAATAGCCATAGATAGACTTTGTTTACCTTTGAAAATGAGGCGATGAAAAAAAATGTTACTTCTGTGCAAAATAACAACATCTTTCCAACCGATTTAGAAAGATCTGGAACTGGATGCTGGGGCTGGGTGAAAATACATACTTTTGTACTCTGTAATAGAAACGTAGAAATGTGTTCTTTGAATAATAATAAACATTGCTTTGTAAACGAAAATGTGTTTGTTTATAGACCAAGAGCTGTTGAACAAAGTGCTATAAATACAAGCTTCATGTCAGATAATGAAATTGTAGGTGCATATTAAGGCCAATATTCAAAATATCAATTTGTTTTATCTTCATTTGTCAGTTATCGGCGAGCAGATATTGTGATGTGTATCAAATGAAGATAAAACAATATGATATTTTGAATATTGGCATCAATGTGCACCTACAATTCCATTATCTGACATGAAGCTTGTATTCATAGTACTTTGTTCAACAGCTCTTGGTCTATTACTGATTTGATGCACAACGATACGACTTACATCATCCGATGGAAATTCGTCAAATAAAACTTGTGGCAGTGTCGGAATTTTCATTTTTAAAAGATAATTATGTATTCAACATGCAAATCTGTTGATTTTTTTTTTATGAAACTTATTTTCTCCTTCTCAACCAGAAATATACCGAATGAAAACAATCAAAGTGAGATGAAAGACGTTTCGCTGCCGATTCGAATTTAGTTTGATGTCAACTGTCAATTCAATAAACTTCTTTCGCGTACTGTTGTGTGGCGCTTTTGTTCAAGAAGAGATTTTTCAAAATTGCGTATTCTACGATTTTCTTCGAAATGAATTCAGTATTTTCTACTCTTAAAATTGATATAAATTTTTCAATGAAACATCGAACCGTTATTGAAAATTATACCAATAATGATAATATCACTTTAAAAAAAAAGAAGATTAGAAATCAAACGAAATGTTAGCATCTGAAAAAGGCTCACATTGAAACGTTCAGAACAGATTTGTCAAAGCTATTCGGTGGCTCCATCTGCGATGGCAATTGAACGTTGACGATAAATCATGTCGACTGCATTGGTATTGCACGCATACAGCAACGTGGTTGCAATACCATTACACATTCGATTCATGTCGAATGGAATAGTTTGCGTAGCTGAACTGAGACGACAGTCATATTTTTCCTCTCTAACATACGAGTAATGGAATTACCAGCATTTTCAAACGTTGATTTGCCGTTTGAACTGTAACACTTTTATCGGCTTTCTTTTCTTCGGCAGTCAGAACGATTTCCTCATTGACCATGTCAATTTTCGCCTGCGGCACAATTGTCTCGCGCAACGGAACGATTGGCAGTGACACATTCACGGGACATTTTGCATATTCACGTTCCAAATCGTAGATGCATCGCTCCAAATGAATTTCGCCCAATGTGACCAACACATGTTCGCCATTCTCCTGAACAATCACCTGAACACAGGCATCGGCTTGGTTCAGTAATTTCAACCCCTTTTTCAACTTCGGCAAGTCGGCAATACTCTTCGGTTCAACAGCAACACGATAAATTGGCGTCGCCATTATGGTGAGGTCACAAAACGACGAACAGAATGGATTGCTCGATAGCGTAGCCGTTTTAAGTACATGATCTTGCAAACCTTTGATTCCAACGATATTTCCAGCAGGTGCTTCTTCAAGCTCTTCCAACTCTTTGCCCATTAATAAATACAAATTTTCAACTGTGACTTCTTTAACGTAGGGCGACTCCGTTGAATTAGCCAAACTGAAATAAAACCAATTATAAAAATGTTTCGGAAAAAAAAATGATTCTAATTAGAAAATGTGCACTCACTCGATAATCGAACTGGGATCGTGTTTTGGTGTCATTGCATAAATTTTTGAGCCTTTCTTCAATGTTCCACTGTAGACACGAGCAAATGCAATGAAAATGTTATTTCCCTCCACTTTGGCCACTTCTTCTGACTTCTCTTTTTTTTCTCCGGGTTTCTCTTCCTGTTTACTGTCATTCGAATTTGTCTCGTCCAAAGAAACTCCGGCTAATTTTGCTTCCAATTCTTCATTTCGCTGCTGTAGTCTCTGCCTCGCCAAATCTCGTCTTCTTTCGATTTGTTTTCGGGTAAGGGGTTTCGGTTTGTTTTCAGGTAAAATGGATTTGTCGACGGGAATCATTTTCGAAATGAAGGCAATCACAGTTTTACTCTCGGCATTTGAATTCATAAACTCAGATTTTAGTGCTTGTGTCTGGGCTGGAAGTGCTTCGAATGTAAACGGCACAATATTGAAAAGAGTCACCATATACCTCATCTGTCTCATTTTTCTCATAAATTTCAAAAATTTATTCAACCAACAAAGATGTGAAAAATGTATCATTTGTAGCCTCGGTTTATATTCTATTTACCTATTGTTTTCAATATTTCATACGGTGAAAAGCTTCTCTTTGAAAACTGATGGGGAAACGATTAATTTGCGTTCAATTATTTTGATTTTTCAATATCATGTATTTCAAAGATGAATCAAAAGTTGTGATTTAATAACAGCGATACGTTTATGATGCATTCGAATGAAATTGTTGAAATTTTGTAGTTTGATATTTTAAAATCTTCATAAATTATTGTTTGGTGGCCCTGAAAAGGGCCGTTTTTTGTACGGTTTTGCGAAAATTATGTCGAATTTACTTTGAACTGGTGTATTTGGTGACGGCTTTGGTTCCCTCACTGACGGCGTGCTTGGCCAATTCTCCTGGCAACAAGAGACGGACAGCCGTTTGGATTTCGCGACTAGTGATGGTTGACCGTTTGTTGTAGTGAGACAAACGCGATGCTTCAGCGGCGATACGCTCAAAGATATCGTTGACGAAACTGTTCATGATGGACATGGCCTTGCTGGAGACACCAGTGTCTGGATGAACTTGTTTCAATACTTTGAAGATGTAGATAGCGTAGCTCTCCTTCCGCTTGCGCCTCTTCTTCTTGTCTCCTTTCGAAATGTTCTTTTGGGCCTTGCCGGCTTTCTTTGCTGCCTTTCCGCTGATTTTCGGTGCCATTGCTAATGTTAATCGTTTGACTGACGAACACGAACTGAATGCTCGCACCAGAGCTGTGCGCGTTTATATAGCGGTTCAGTGAGTGGATGACGTCAGCGATTCGAAATTCTAAGCTCCGCCCATTTCGTCGAGTGTGCCATAATGCGAAGCGAATATAAGCAGACACGCACTGTGCTCACATCATTCAGTATTTGTCGTTCGTACGAGTAACAAGCAAAGAGAAAACATAATCAAACATGTCTGGACGTGGTAAAGGAGGCTAAGTAATGGGAAAGGCAAAGTCACGCTCAAGCCGAGCTGGTCTTCAGTTCCCAGTCAGTCGTATCCATCGTTTGTTGCGTAAAGGAAACTACGCAGAACGTGTCGGAGCTGGTGCACCAGTGTACTTGGCAGCTGTCATGGAATATTTGGCCGCCGAAGTGTTGGAATTGGCCGGTAACGCTGCGGCTGCCCGTGACAACAAAAAGACCCGTATCATTCCTCGTCACTTGCAATTGGCCATCCGCAACGACGAAGAGTTGAACAAACTACTCTCGGGTGTTACAATCGCTCAAGGTGGTGTGCTGCCAAACATCCAAGCCGTCTTGCTGCCTAAGAAGACCGAAACCAAGAAAGCCTAAACTCTTTCTTATAAACATTAAAAACGCCCTTTTCAAGGCGAACAATATTTTCAATATAAGGAATTTTTTTAAATCTTCACTGCAAAAAAGATAAATGTTGAAAAATCATTTGGAGCAAAAGAATTTCTTTGTTAGGGTATTGTGTTTTCTCATTTTCGATTTTTATTGATCTACTGCCGTATTATGTTTTGAATAAAAGAACACCAAAACATATGCACTCATCTAAATGCTATTTTCTATCGTCATACATGGTCAAACACCCAAACACAATATGAAAGTTTATGACCATGGTTGAACTAGAAAAAGAGGGCGAAGAAGACATTTATTCCTTTGTGGAAAATTCCATCGACTTTTTTCCCCAGCCCACCTCTAGTTTCAGTTCAAATCTAGAATATTCCATACAAAAAAAAAACGAAATTCTATCGAAAAATTTCTTCGTCGGATGTACGTGGTTTGGAAATGGAAACGGTTCGAGGTGCAAGCGTTGTTGCGGAACATTTATTCATATCAACAGTAAGATTGCGGATGTGTGTCGGCTTTTGGACGCACCACAAACCAAACGTGCAACGGCGTTTTGTGCCAGTCTGCGCAGATGGAATGTTCGAGAATTCGTTCGATCAGCGATAACAACAACAACAATATCATTATCTACATGGACTTATTAAATGTTCGAATAAAGTCACCAAAAGATATTGATTCGAATTCATTGATTTAAAAAATCTAAACCAAACATTGTGAGACTCATCGCAAATATTCAATTTTTGTATTGCAAAAATGATGACTTTGTTTGAATTGCCTACGTGAACGTCAACATGCCCCAGCTGATGCACGTGGAAACAAAAACATTTACTGTGCTCGTTTTACAACGCACAGTTTTATACCAGTTTGGAAAATATATCACCGGCTGATGTTTTTTTCAGATTTTTTGTTGTAATAATCGAGAAAAATCAACTAATGCCTTCATTACGAGCCTGAAATGAAGAATTCTACCATAAATCATCTCAAATGTATTACACAATTAGAATCGTTCGGTAGTTTTCACTGACAAAAAAAGTTATTCCTTGACAGTTTATGCTGAACAATTTTTTCGACGAGTTGCATCGGGTAAGCCATACAGTTACCGTATTCACAAGCGCAACCGCACACAAAATAAAACGTAGTTACTGCGGAGAACCAGTTTATTGCATATTTGGGTGTAGATTTCGATTGACGCTATAGCAGACGTGTAAATGGCTACGGAACCGCACAGTTTGTCAGTTAAAATATATTTTCCTCTCATTTGGACACGCATTCACGCATTGCCAAAAGCTGAGCAGATAACAGAGACAGCTATACAGTAGAAACTTAACACACACACACACAAGCGGAGGTCGTAAACGGTGCGGATCACACCACTATTTCGCATCTGGCTGATGCGTCGTCGTCTCTCTGACGAACCGAACAAAATGTATCAAAACGAACCAAAATATTATTATTCGACGGCCGACCATACGGAGTGTTGTTTGTAAATACGAAACGCGGATAACCAACTGAGTGTGTGACTTGATTAATATAGCACATTATACCAGCTGAAGTCTCACCGAGCAGTGAAAAAAACGCAAAGAGAGAATCACACTTTTTTCCTCATTATCCACACACATTTTATAGTATAGGCGGAACACAAAATACACAACGGGCGACGAAAGAAAATACGCAATAACCAAAAATTTCAACGTTTTCGCTATCGCAAAAATCCGCTCTCCATCAGAGTTTACCGAATAATTTTTTGTTGTTGGATGTTATTTTAGGCGCATCTTTAGAAACATTTTCCACGTAGCATTGGTGTTTAAGCATTTTGAAACGAGATTCAATTTTTATTCTTCACAAATAAAAAGTGAATCTCGTGAAATTGAATTAAAAAAAAAACCGTAAATTGTGTGTAAAAAAAGGAACAACTCATACAAACCATTTAAAATCATCGAATACGTAAAATAAAATAACATATACATTAAACCGGTATAATCTCACATAGTCAGTCGCAATACGCACTTGTGAAATTTTGTCGACGCACACATACTTGCGTGAAGCAAAAGCAGACGTATTCGTTTGACTTTCTTCCGTGCTGTGACTAGCCGAATAAAAAACCATTCTTTAATAAAACACGTCGCGCTTATAGTCATTTCGAAAAATATAAATAATATTTAGAAAAAATAATAAGCCTGTTAACCAAACCGATAATTAAGAACAATTTAAGCGTTTAAAAATAAATTAATAATAATAAATAGTGTGCTTGTGAGGGTTGAAATTGTGAGCTGAACGAAAGAGGGATAGAGTGAGAAGAAGTTTTTTTCTCTGTAAAAATGGAAATTGAAAACGTGCCAATCGACGAAGTCGTATTGAGTGGCAGCCCAAAGAATGAGAATGGAATTGTTGCCAATGGAACGGCAAATGGCGATAATGGAACGGCTGCCATGAAGAAACCGTCGCCACCGGCCGAAGGAAAGAAGCGTTTGAAGAAAATTGCACGCCAGAATAGTCGCGAGGGTCAGCCAAATCATCATGTGAATGGATCGTTGAATGGATTCATTGCACCGCAACGGAGATGGAAGAATTCAAGACGATCGCGCAATGGGCATGGTCGTGGCTTACCAAAAAAGAATGGCGGCGGTGGTAAAGGTGTTTGGGGTCTACCAGGCTCGGAAATTCTCGAAGAGCCATTGGAAATGGATCGCAATGATCCAAATTACGATCCAACAGAAGTGAATGATGGTAACATCGAACTCAAAGAAGTGATCGCTGAAACGACACCCGAAGAATTTTTCAAAATGATTGAACCAATCATTTTGGAGTATTTCGAGCATGGTGATACAAATGAAGTGGCTATCAGCCTTGACGAAATTATTGTGGGTTCGTTGCGACCATTAGTCACCACTTACTCAGTACAAATTGCACTGGATCACAAAGATTCACAACGCGAAATGGTCTCGGTGCTTATTTCTGATCTCTACGCACGGATTGTAACCTTACGAGATATCGCCAAGGGTAAGTGAGCTACATAATTATTTTCGATTTAATCGTTTAATTGCCATTTTTGCAGGCAAATGCACAAAATCAATAGGAGATTTTGAGTGTAGAGTAGATATAAAGCAATAGTTGTAGATGTTGTAGAAATGTCAGTTTTCCCTTTCTTCTGCGGATGGAAGTGGCGTGCGATACGTTGCGTTGATTCAATTTTGATCAATCAGTCTCTAGATGTGCCTTACATCTAACAAAACCATATCATGCATTTACTGTATTTTGCATTTTGCCTGAATTAATGTAGGCAATACTTCAATGCCAGCCATAATTGTATGTGCTAATATGTTGCACATAACGATACACTTTTTTACTGCGTCTCTTTTTGTGGCGAGAGCGCATAAACGGCAGCAGTCCGTCTGAGTGGAAAGATACTTTTTTTCGCATTCAAGAGAAGACCGAAGCGCAACGCAAAACTGAGTAAGCAGAAAAACTTCTTTCATTTTTTTTTCTGCTGAATGTGCTTCTCTTTGGGTCTTCGCTTTACTACAGAAATGTATGCATTTGCATAGGCATCAATTAATATATATGCAGTATCTCGTCCGTCTTTTGAGAGTGAGGAAGATGCCTTTATTTTGTTTCGAAGACAGTGAAACAAGTCGCGCAACTGTGGCGCAGAATATGCATACAAATTTTATTTTTGTAACACTGAAATCAGACACACAGCCTGCAAGCAATTGCATGTTGATTCGTCCATATTTATTCTGTTGTTGTTCGTGTTTGTGTCGTTCTCTCCACTTTCTTGTCGAGACAACCGCTTTTAACCATTACAATTTTTTTTTTCTGCTGTTGCTGCTGCTTTGGCTTTTGAGCATTTGGTTTCTTTTTTCATTCGGTTTCCGAACGCTTTCCTATGTTTGTCGGTAAATGCGCGTTTTGTGCCTTTATCTCACTCTCTTCATGAAGCCTCATGGAAATCGGTGTTATAGTGTTGTTGTGCATATGGCTGCGTCAGTATTTGTTCAAACAGCAGGCAATATTTTGAAGGTCAATTCATGTACGTACACAAATTTACACGTACATGAACATACACATACACACGCACAAGCACATATACACAGCTCTTCGAAGTCGAAGAGCTATTCGTGTATGTTCGTATAAAAATGGCTGTGCTTGCTCGTTATCGCCGTGCTGTTTTCTGTTGTACTCTTGTCGTTCTTCATGTTTATTGTTTTCTTATGCCATCCCGTGTGCAAATAAAGTGACTGACAGTCATTCAGTTGTATGTAGCTGCAGGCTAAGTTGATTGAATTCAAGAATGTTGTATAGAAATAATCACTTTTAGTTATTCTTTCAGCCAGCCGTCTAATTTCGGACTTTTTGGCTACTAGATGACTATAACTGAAGTTGACTACAGTCAAATATTTTGTTCGAGATAATCACTTTTAGTTACTGATAGTCAGCCAAAAAGTCCGAAATTAGACGGCTGGCTAGTCAGTCACAAATTTTTCACACGGGATTTTGGATAAATGTTGCGGAAAAAATAAGACAATAGAATTCATCAGAATGAAATCGCATTTGACGGTTCGATTCCGCGCTGAACGAAAAAGCGAGAATGTGGTTGTGTGGATTTGCTTGTTGGCATTTGGCTGTGGTTGAATTTGGCTGTTGATTTTCTCTGTTTTGTTTCGGCTTGGTCTCGCCTCGCCTCGATATACGAGTTTCATACCAACAACACAACATATGATTTGGAAGATATTTTCACGCAAATGTATGTCTCTTTCGCTGCTCACTACACACAACGGTGGAAACGGCAGCGGCAGGGGCAGCGGAAGCCGTGTCTACCGATTCCCAACTCTCTATATTCAGATAGGTATATGTTTTGCATGTTAACTTAACTGTTCGTAAAACATGGTGTGTGTTGCCCCTTTTCGATAGACATTTCTATTTAATTTCATTTTCATTTTCATTCCCGTGCTGCATATTTTTGATGGATGGCAACGTATGAATTGGTCTGCATTCTAGCATTTCTAGGGACGGGGAGTGAACGCGACAGTTTTATTTTGTTAGGCATTGTCATTCGGCTCCGAATTTATTTCAACTCTCTTGTTTCATGAATTCGAATGTTAGAAAGAGAGAAAGCGACAGTACGAATTCAGAGAAGATGTGTACGTGTAGTTGTATGTGTTTTGGATGCTTCGCGTCAAATTTTTTAGAAACTGCGTAAATTCTGGTTCGTCCTATTCCAACAAAAACATTATTATGGATCGATCAAATAATGAAATCATACCGCTGAATTGTATCGTCACAGCGTATTTGTTAACATAAATATTTGGAAATAAGTCTGGCACACTTCATCCCATACTGCCGGCTTGTCTATGTTTCGTTAATTTAAGTTTTGTCGACATTCAAATTATGGAAATTTCCATATGATATACATATTCTTGATGTTTTGCCGTCGACAAACTCAGCACTGTCGTTCAGAAATGCACTTTAAATGCACATACATAAAATAGGTGAAGTGAAATTCCAATCTATGTTCCAACACCCTCATAACATATTAGATGCAGGGAGCGCAAATTAATCACACCCAAAGAATAATCATTACCGATAGCATACACAAAAGAAAGAGAACTCTGGAAAGCGACACACAGAGAGAGAGAGAGTGCGAGGTTGGTCATCGCATGAAAACTAAGGAAATCAGCTCAATTTTGCGAGCGCAAAATATTTACGCTTTGCGATGGTAATCGAAGCAATTTCATGTATTGCTTCTATTTTTAATGTTCGCGCAGTGTGTAAACAACAGATTTCGATTGTTTTTGTGTGTTTCCTTTTTACTGCTTTTGCCGACGTTGTTTACACAGTCACTCCTCTTATTTTACGCGCTGTGTTTGGTGCGCAAAAAGAGGCGAAATAAATTATAAAAAAATCGGTGTATTTAATCGCGATTGTGTGACTATGAATTGGCTTTGAGATTTCAATTTCATTTCCATTTTATTAGTTTGGTGAGGTAATTTTCAATATTGTATTCCCACTATTCGTACGATATACTGTCTTTTTTGCACACAAACAAAACGCGAAAAATCAATTTTCAAGCAATTTTTATGTAGTGGAGAAATCGGCACGATAGAAATGAATTGATAACGATTTTTAATATGCTCATCGCAAGCATGTACTCTATATGCTCAGGTGTGTCCTGATAAGGCGTTCAATAACTCAATGGCTATAATAATAAACTGAAATCCACCAAGTGTAGATAAATAAATAGGCTTTCACAATTCCTTCGATCAAAATCAAACTCTTCTCCATTTGCCGGAATTGTGACTCAATTGTCATTCAGAGCAAAAATAAATAGAAACACTGATTCAATGATTTGAATTGGAGTACAGATGGGACTTCAATCAGAAACAATGCAATCAGATTCAATTACTTGAACACTTGTTGAAAGCAAGTACAATTAATGGCATTCAACACAATAGTCAATTTATAGAGAGAAAATGGCACTACATTTTTCTCTCTCTATCTCTCGCACTCCTCTCACTATTCATTTTCGATTGGATACACACGTATTCGTGCAAAAAATAACGACATAATACTCTTTTAATCTATACCGACTAATGAGTGTCTGTTCTTGCGGAGCAATGTTCGAACAAGGCAACGTCTCGGTATTTCGATGTGTTGGTGTTTGCTCTGCGTAGAAAAAATAAAAACGTGATTATATAATCTTAACAAGTAAATATTTCTATTTTGCCGCAATATTTGTTTCAATGTTCCGTGCACTTTTCGATGCCTTTTCATTGTAGCGGTCTTTACTTTATTTAGTACCCACATTGTTTCGTTTGATTTTAATTTTAAAGCACGAAATCCAATAATAAATGCCAAGCAACCTTACGTCCATCCAATGAATTCATTTCGTATATTACAGCCCAAAACATTATCGATTTGTGTTTCTCGTAGAAATTGGAATTAAGAAAATCTGCAACTATGCAATTAAATGCAAAATTTGGATTTTTGTGTTTTTCTGTCTTCCCCTCTCATTTTTCCCCCAGGTTACGACTTGCTTTTAACGAATTTGCCAGATTTAATATTGGATACACCAGAAGCTCCAACTTTACTTGGCAATTTCATTGCTCGATCGGTGGCCGACGATTGTTTGGCACCGAAATACGTTACCAACCCAGATAACGTCGATCAGTTGAACGAGTATGCATTGGCCGCTCTAAAGCGTGCCGACGCATTATTGTCACTGAAACAAGGTTGGGCACATTTGGATAACATTTGGGGTAAAGCTGGCCCGTTGCGACCAGTCAAAAATATTACAAAGCAAATGACACTACTTTTGAAGGAGTACATTTCATCGCGTGACTTTGACGAAGCTGCTCGTTGTTTGCGTGCACTTGAAGTGCCGCATTATCACCACGAGTTGGTGTACGAAGCGATTCTCATAGCAATGGAATCGGTTAATCAACAAACCGAGGAAGCAATGTGTACATTGCTTAAAGCTATGGATGAAGCATGTCTCATTTTGCCGGCTCAAATGGAACGAGTAAGTAAATCACCTGCATTTTCTTTTTGGAAATTGGCATTAATATATATTTTAAAATGATTTTTCATACAAAATATTGCGATTTTGTTTAATTACAGGGATTCCAACGTGTTTACGATGACATGCCTGATATTGTTTTGGACATTCCACTTGCTTATATCATGCTTGATCGCTTCATTGAACGTTGCGGTCGTGCAGGATTCTTATCGGAAAAGTCCATTAAAACAATGCCAACTAGGTACGTATACAGATATTTTATATTCATTTTTTTAAATTGTGTTTTTCATTGAGATTTGACTGGTACAACCAAACAGCTACTAAGACGTTGAAATATTTTAGCACAATGAATAGAACGCGAATTGTGGATCGTTTCATTATTGTTTGTTACTTTTGAAAATGAAAAAAAAAACTATTTTCTTCTCTCTGACATTTCATATTTTTCACCTTTTCTACTGTACTCCGCAGATATATATTTATAAATTTATCGGCTTAAAAGAAACCATGAAATGAAAACCGACATCCATTTATCGTATTTTTCGCCGTAGCATTCATACGCTCGTCCGCTCACTCACTCACACTTGTTTCATTCTCATGTAACGCCACACAATGCACAATACTCAAGTTCGATGCAATTACGGCGTACAATTCGAGGTAATTCCTCAGTGTAACGGACACAACTAACGCGCAACAAAAACTTATCGATTTATATATTTCAATGTGAACTAGTTGTTTATTTCTCATTTCAGCCGTGTGGCTCTCGCACAATATTTTAGTTAGACCATTTTTTTAGTCCCACACACATTGAAAGGCATACCGACACCGGGAGATAGAGTGAGATAGAGGTTTTTCAAATTGCATTTACACAACTCCTTGTTTCCTTGTGTTGTGTGTTCGTTAATATTTTTTAGTTTATTAAATCGTCGATAAAATGGAACGACCCAAACTGATCTTTTTTGCTCTACGAACATTTGCGATAACATTTTCCTTCCAAATGCGGCAGATGAAATATTGTCGTAATTGGAAAAGTCAAATGCGAAAAACGGTACATAAATAATGCCAGAGAGAAATAGCGACTTTGAATCGTATTATGGCTGCAGAAATGCTGGGCACAAAAAAATAGAAACTAATCTCAAGCAACTCTTGATGCATTTAAATGTGTATGTTATCTTTTCTTCTCCGATTTATATTGGTGCTTAGTAGCCACGCACATAGGTCCATTGTCTATTCATGCTACATCCAAATGCCGGATGATAATCATCCATGAACAAATTGCAAATTGCCGAGTGTACTTGGAATATCTATTTTTCTTATTTGCGATCGAAACTTAATTGCTGGGCTATAAATTTTGCGTGAAGATTTATACCGATGCTCGAAAAATACGGTGTACTGGAAAATACTCCCGAACAAATATTCGTCTATGGCTTTAGTGTAATCAACGAGTTTCGAGCCGAAAGGTGAGCACCAAACACATAGCAAAAAAGGCAGCACCAAAAATGCACGTTAGCAATGCTGTACTCCTACCATGTGCATTGCATTTGCACATGTACTCAACTTTATTTAATAGGCAATGGGTTTGCATTTGCCGATGTCATCCATCGATAGATCGTATTCACAAATGTGAATAGAATCACATTTTCTCTGTTTTAGGTTAGTTTTTACGTCGTAGCCGAGACAAAATAGAAATCAACATGAGATAGTCATCATTACTTTATTTATGGAAAAAAATATTTCCGAACTTTAGATCGTTCGATCGATAGTGAGTGAGAAACAGGCCCTGGAATTCTAGTTGTCGGCGTCTATCGTTCAACTCTTGCGAACAAATAATGAGACGGTAACTTTCCAACAACAACAATAACAAAAATGCAGGGCTGCAACGTAACACACAAGCCCCAGCACACGACCGTACACTCCATATCCATTCATTCGAAAAGTGCATCTCATTCCCAATCGAAAATGGTATTATATTGTATTGCATTGAATATACCAGCCACATACAAAACAGTTGGTAACAATAAACCTTCTTTTTTTCCAAAACGATCATTTAACCACACATTGAACGCTTCGGCATCAAGCTATTCGCGTTTCGTTTTGCGTGCCTTTTAATTGTGCGGCGCGATAAAAGTAGTAATAATCTGTCTCTGACAAGTGAAAGTAAAAATGTGCTCTCTGTGCCCACACGATCTGTAACGCATATCGGGTTTGTAACATTGTTCACAACGGGAATGGCATTATGTGAGAACAAACAAAACGATGATTTTCATTTTGCGAAACCAAGCCACAGCAGCAGCAGCAACAACAACAACAACAACAACAACGAATCATCAAGTCTTTTTTATGTAATTTGTAGCTGTGTGTCGTGTGCTACTGCAACTGCTCTCCGCTTTTAAGGTTATTTGGTCATTGAACTCACGACTCAAACGATATACATTACCTTTCTCTGTCTTCTTTTCTTTCAAACGAGCTCATTTACGGGTGCCACTTCTACTATTCGCACCCAACGCCAAACTAACGACTTAGCTGTTTGTCGTTCGCTGCTCTTTTTTCATATTCACTATATTTCTATTTTACAAAATATATCTAAGTGCGAGTCTAAACAGTGCAGCTACTTATCTCTATTAATTATTCAAGCGAGCGTGAAAGAGAGAAAGAGCGAGAGAGCGCGAATTTTATTTTTCACAATTTAAAATGTTTTTTTCTGTTATTGTCATAGATCATGTCTTTCGTTGAAAGACCTACAAACACTAAGCACAAGGTATTGATCGAGTACGTTGAACTACAAAGAAAATGTGTATGTGTGGAAAATTTGCAAATTTGCTATAGAAAACTGACCCACAACAACATTGCACATGTTATTTATAGAATGAGCTACGTTTTCTGTGGCACCCTGTGAACTGCCTACGTGCAAAATCACATCTAATCTTCTTGTTTTGTATGCTGAAACAAACACGCCAAACGATATACGTGCAAATGGTCGCAGTCGACAGTGCGATAGTGTGTATATATGCACGCAATGCATTCGACAAAATACACATAGGCATTCAAGGCTTTGAAGGCAAGCGCATATCAATTCGATATTTTCTTGCTGTTCAATTTGAAGCTAGACATTCTAATGCACAACTTGGCATATGTATCGCAATTTGAAACCTCAATCGAATCACACCAAACAATTGAATTATATTGGAGTGGCTTTAAAAATTGTTTGATTTATTTGTTGTATGTGTCTGTATGTGTATACTTTTTCCATAGTTTTTTTTGAAAAGAAAAAAAAACATGCAAAATAGTCGCTTCATTATTCATTTGTTCGATTTGTACTCGCACCTTATAGGCACATATGTCTTGCTCTAACCATACAATTTTACCCATACATTTTCGATGAAAACAACGTGAACACATAGTAAGAGAGTCACTCAGCTCATGAGCGGTCATTTACCTCAAAAATGCACATCAAATAGTAAATAAAAATGCATTTTTTGCATTCGGGTCGCAAAACGATTCACAGCTTGAGTTGTTGTTGTTGTGTGTGTGTGTGTGTGTTGTTTTCTGCCTTCTTACCATATTTGCTAATCAATTCGATTACGTATCACAGCAGAAAAAAAAAACATGTGGCGCTTTGTATTTTTAGTGCAACATCATCGCATAGTGCTGTCTCATTTTCACATGCGCGACCACACTATTGGAAATGAGACTGTGTGTATGCCCGTTCACTGAAAACATTCACGTAGTACAGTGAACGAAAATTTATTATGTAACAGTGTCAATGCACTGCTCGTTCGTTCATTCGTTTATCACTTCAACCCACTTCAACCCATTTCGTCTCTGTCTACTTCTTTTTTTTTCATCTTACACAAAATTTATTTACTTTTTTGAATGGTTTGGCATCTCATTCAAGCCAAGATTCAGGAATAGAAATACATAGAGAAAAAAATGATCAAATCATTCGATAAAATTGCTGGTTGTGTATTTTTATCGCCATTGCTGCCGTTCAAAAACAAGAACTATACGATATATTTCAAAGTGGTCGTACTAGTGGCGAGAGTGAGAAAATCTACAAATCGATTGAATCATATGATTCTGTTTATGGCGCTTGCTCATACCCAAACACATTTTTGCAGCAACCTACATTTTCGGTCAAATACTCGAATTCATTTCTGCTAGATGCAATAAAAATAGTTTGACTTTTACAATGAAATTGTGTGCTGGAAGAGTACTTGAAAACTTCAAGACTAAAAAGAAAACTACATTGAAGACACACATAAGTAAATAGCATAGTATGATGCCAAAGTGGTTTCGAGCATATATACATTGTTTACTGTTGGGTCTTTTCTCTTTTTTTCATTTTTTTTTAATTCAGTGAAATGAATGCGTGTCATGAGGTTGATGACCGCTCTACTGCCGCACAAGAGAGTAGCACTAACAAATATCGGCGACGTCAAATGAGCGCAACGAACGAATGTTCACACTCAAACGCCAATTTTTCGTGATGAAATAACAAATACATTCATTTGCACACACACACACACACACACTCACGAAAGAAACAAAAAGAAGAAGAGATAACAAATGGCTGCATTTTTTTTTCTTTCGTTATCCAATATAAACTAGATGTTTGACGTATTTTATCTTTTTTTCTCCTTACTTTTTTTGCACATCGTACACTCGTCGCCGCAAATTGAACGAAAGATGACATTATATAAAAGTAATTGGTGTAATGTGCTTTTTCATCTCGACAGTTTCATTCCCCTTTCCATCACGATTGCATTACACGCACAATTCATTGAGCGGAAACAAATTGGAAGAAATTAACAAAACAATCACACCGCCCAAAAAAATCGAACTTTCGAAATTTTGTGCGGCAACGGCGGCAGCATTAGCCATGGCATACGTTCATTGGCCTGTTTCGTTTTGGCCAAATGGTGTGTGCCTTTTTTCTCTTTCTCTCTCTCTCTCTCTCTCTCTCTCTCTCTCTCTCTCTCTCTCTCTCACCATATTTTCATTATATTGCGATGTATGTGTGCTGGAAAATTGCCGATCAAATCTAATGTGTGCAAATTGCTTTGACGGTTATTAAATGTGTGTTTGCTCGAGTTCACTGGCACTTGGTTTATGCAATTTGATTGAACATGTCAAAACATTTGAAAATGAACGAAACGCACTTTAAAAGAAACAGCGTTGTTATGTGCACAGTTGTGGGCTGTGATGTCAAATCTATGGCAACCGTAGAGCCATTTGTTTTTGCATAGCTCATTCTACAAACTAGGTTGGCTTTTGCAGATAGAGATAATATATACGGAGCATGAACTTAACGTAATGTGTAACTAGTTTTCGAGGCTCGCGCGAGTGCAATGACTTCAAATGCATGTTGCATAAGTACCATAAAGTGCGCCACGATTTTTCTCCCATTGTATGGTTGATTGTTGTGAGCAACATTGTAATGTAATGTGATGTATTTTTGTTATTCACGATATTCAGCGATGGCTATTTCGATAAAAATCAAAATTTTATTAGAATTTCATTTATGTACTGATGATGTCATGAACGAATGCACATTGCACATCAAATCAATTCGCGATTTCGAAATAAAATGCGGAAAATATTGTGTTCATATTTAACTCGTAAATGTCATAATATTTATAATGTGCTATGCGAACGGCAACTAGTTTCAATTGTTATGGTGAGAGATTTAAATGGTGAGCACAATTTATTGTTGTTGCATTCTTGATAAATTCGTGACTTTTGAAGAATCGAGATCGTTTACTCTTGGTAGCTGACGTTTGTTCCAACTTCTTTCATTTGCTGAGACTATGGCTTTGATTTTAGAATTATTTTTTATATTAAAATTATTTTTATTTATCTTTTTTTTTCTCTTTGAACAGAGGACGCAAGCGTTTCGTATCTGAGGGCGATGGCGGTCATATCAAACCCGAAATGTTGCACTATCGTGATTGAATTCATTTGAACTCGAAACCAATATACCTCAAACCACTGCAAAACTAAATGGAAGATGCGAAATGCAACAAACACAACAACATCAACAACACATTGGAAACAAACGAGTCGCAGATAAATTGCAATCGATTAGTTTATTTCCAAGACATAGAAAAAGAATTTTAAAGAAAAATATTCAGTTTAATCTTTTTTGATTTTCCACATTTTTGATGGAAAATCCCCGTGGACAAACAATATAAAATATACATTCAAAACAATACTTCATTTATAACTAGAGCTAATCATCTCTCAGTTTCTGAACTAAAAATGAAAAAAAAAGTAATATTGGCATATTGAGCAAAAAAAAAAAAAACAATGATAGTAAAACGTTAACGTGAAAACAAGGAAATTTTATTCGAAGAATTTTATCTTCTCTTTTCTACAAATTTCTATTAGATTACTTTTTTTGAAAGATGAAAAAAGAACTTTATGTAATCAAGTTATTGATTGATAAAAATCTATATAAGAACACAAATAAAACCAAAATCAAGAAAAACCACATGCAAATCAAGGAGAATAGAAGCAACAGATTGGCTTGAATTTTTGAAGAAAAAAAATAGATTGCATGATCGGAGGGCATATTCGAAAGCAGTTCACATGCAAATGCGTGAGCTCGTAATTTCATTTCAAATTAAGCTTTTTTCATTTAGTATTATTTGAATGAAACATGAATAATAACAACAACAACAAAAAAATATGTAGAATTTAATGCGACACACAAGATGATTGCATGTGAATAAGAAAAAAAAAATTCAAAATTGAACTCAGTCTAGAATTGGATTTTTTGAGGAAGATATGAATTTTGTGTTGTTTTTATGACCATGCATGTCAATGGAAATGCAGCGAAAAACAAATCCAATTTTGTAATATGATTTTAATTGGTTCGTTTAGTTGTATTTCAATTTTCAATCGATCATTATCTTGGATTATTTCATTTAATTCACTATAAAACAATGCACTTTCTAGTTATTTCCTCGTTATAATATCTATAACTTTTTCTTCCTCCCAGTTTGTCTCATAGATTCTTTTTTCCGACACTTCATTCATACTTACAATGATATCATTTATGATCTATTTTGGAAAAAAGAATTGATGGTATTAATGAAACAAGAAAAAACATTTTATCATGTTAAATAATGATGCAAATTAATAAACAACAAAAAAAATTACATAATGAACAATTGTCCGGTGTTTCACTTTCAACTCTTGTATTTACAGCTGGGAGTTTTGCATGTTCATGCAATGTGGTAATGGGTCTAGGCTATAGATTCCGTGGGAATACATTCAAGATCAAGCTATCGCGCAACGGATCAAGAATCCAACACCAATTCCAATCAAATTTAAAGATTGAACCCAGCCAAATATTCTTACATGTAATCAGAAACACAATAGTTGAAAAGAAAAAAAAACCTCTTTTTCATATCACCGCGTGTTATTATTATTTATTTCACCAATCACAATTCATTTTACAATTTATACAAGCAAAATTTCGATCGGATGACCTGGCCATCAGTTCTAAGAGCTTCGGAATGACACACTACGGCAACCGATTTCAAAAAGAAATAAATGCAATGTTAGTAATAATAAATAATAAAAAGAATTACATTGGTAATCCCAAACTTTTCCGTACCGTTGGCCTGCGTTGTCCATAGGTACTTTTGGTTATTTTTTGTGAATTTTCTTGAAATAATAATAATTTTTTTTACCGTTTTTGTCCAACATCATTACACAGCATTACAAAAAATTATCAAAATTCCATGTAAACAATAATTTCTGCCGTGAAAATAAATTTCAGCACGTAAAGAAAAGTGTTTTGATTGAAATGTTTCAACAATAACAAAAAAATGAGAAAGACCGTTATTTTACGTTTAGAAGAAATTTCGAAACTTTTGTATGGGAGGTACCCGTAAATCGACTCCGATTAGCTTCAAACTTTCTGAGTTTTCATTTTTTGGAGAAAAAATAAGATTCTGAAAATTTGAAATCAATCAGAATCGATTAACGGGTACCTCCCATCAGCACCGTAGCCAGGCCGGCGCAATGGGTGCATTGCACCCTCCAAAAATTTCAAAGGTGCAACAAAATCGGGTGCAAAATCGGGTTTCAAAGGTGCAACAGAAGAAAAATTTCGATTTTGCACCCTCCAATTTTTTTTTCTGGCTACGGCGCTGCCTCCCATACAAAATTGTCCAAAAATCGGTAATTTTAGTCAAAATTTCAAAAAATTTGTATGGGAGGTACCCGTAAATCGATTCCGGTTGATTTCAAATTTTCAGAATCTTATTTTTCTCCCAAAAAATGAAATCCCAGAAAGTTTGAAGCCAATCGGAGTCGATTTACAGGTACCTCCCATACAAAAGTGTCAATTTTTTGAGGTTTTTCTTAGGGCAAGTACCCCAGGATCAAATCGAAAATGGCTCATCTTCCAACTTGAACTAAGTTTTTCGGATACAAAACTTTTGGCATTTCCAGATTTTGATTATCTCAATTATTTTTTGAGCTATCGAGTTAACAAACACCAACGACGACGACGACGACGACGACAACGACGACGACAACGACAACGACAACGACAACGACAACGACAACGACAACGGCACACGAACGGAAAAGTGTCCAAAAAGTGGTTTTCTACGCGTTTCATGAGTTTTTATGATGATCTAAACCAATTTTGTGAAAAAAGTTTTCGGGACCAATTCCTATACTTTTCCTTGACACGGTGTGTACGGAAAAGTAAAACAATTTCCGCCAAACCAAACATTCTATAGAAGGTGGATTTGTTTGGTATCATGAGATATGATTTCGATGCAATTAATATTATCGTTAGCAATGAAACTATGCCTACGATTTCGATTAACCATTTTAGAAATTGGTGATAAAAATGAAATAAACAGCACAATCAGGGAGTGTAACTCCGAGGAGGAGGAATGGTGAGGAGGTGAATGAGGAGGAGGAGTGCGCTGAGGAGGTTCCTCCTCCTCACATGAGGAGGAAATAAAAATTACCAAAATTGAGGCATATAAATTTATTTTAAACACTTTTATTGATTTGGAACGGATGCCAACGATAAAAAACTACGATCAACATCAATAGAAGTGTTTAAAATAAATTTATATGCCTCAATTTTGGTAATTTTTATTTCCTCCTCATGTGAGGAGGAGGAACCTCCTCAGCGCTCTCCTCCTCCTCATTCACCTCCTCACCATTCCTCCTCCTCGGAGTTACACTCCCTGAGCAGAATCTACTTCTTCGAATGCAATAGTTTGAACCAATTAAAAATTGTTTAATGAAGAATAGAGCGTAGACAAACGTTAAGATGACACTCAGGCAATAATGCGCCAACAATGACATTGAATTAGATCCGTCATCATCGAAATCGTCCATATTTTCCAATGGTGGCAGGATGATCCAAAGAAGAGCGATTGTCATCAAAGTCGCGATGTGTAGTAATATCTAAACAAAATGTAAAATGAAATTGATTGAAAATATTCGATTAATTGATTGAAAAATTGTCAATGGCAATTTATTGGAAATATAAAGATGAAATCATTGAAATTGGATGGACTTACACGGTAATTTGGCCGGCACATTTTTGTTGGAAATCGGTTTGACGTTAAAAAATATTGCGATATGTTTAAACTGAGAAGATGTTTTGCTCTGAAGTTGCAGCGAATAACAACTGTCATTTAAGTTGCTGTTATACACAAACACGTGTTTTAAGATTGCTGAGCATCTCAGCATTTCGTAAGGCACGGATA